TTTTTTTTTTTTTTTTTTTTTTTTTTTCCAGTCAATGTTGCATAACATGACTTCACAAATTGTATATGGCAGCCACAAGACACTTTTCTTTTCCTCTTTTTTGTTCCTTAACGACGTCTTACTTCTAAAGGTGGAGCTGATCGTTGGTTTAATCAATGAAAGGAATTAGCACGTATCTGGGAGCAGCTCCTATCGTCGAGTGTCTGGAAAAGTACCATCCAAATGTCATAATTACTTCTCGAGTCGCAGATGCTGCCCTATTTATGGCTCCAATGGTAGGGAGTGGTTTCTGCATGGTGTTGGCACAATCTTTTAGCGATTCGTACCGATGTTTCCTTTTTCAATATAACTTTTGTTACCGTTAGAAGTAATATTGTTTTTAAGAAGAATAGCAGGCACTGAAGTTGCTTAGTGCCTCCTTTGGGGGTGGTAGAACTTTATGGATTTTAGGGGTTTCGGCCTCGTTTTTGGGCTTCAACCAAGGAGTTACAGAAAATATCTCCAATCGATTGCAATATAGTAAATGTTGTAAGAATTGGTTAAACAACATCTAAGATTATTTGTTGTTGGGACAAAGATAAAGAATATTGGAGAGATGGATTGTATTCATTGTTTTAGAGAAAATAGTGAAGTTAGTAATAATCAAATCGGTAATCTGGCTATATACGTCATGCTATCATGAATTAAGATTTATCATAGCAAAAATTTGAACTCCTTTAGGATGTTTTGAAATATTTCTCAGACAATGACTCAATGACAATGTGACATATATTCAGGTATATGAACTTGGTTGGAACTGGGATGATTTTCTACGGTTATCACAGGGAACACTGGCTGGTCATCTTCTGGAATGTGGTTGTCAACTTACAGGGGGATACTTTATGCATCCAGGTCCACTACTTCCTACCCACCCAAAGCCGAATTCTTTGTCGTTGGAGCGTGGAATTCATAGCTGTAGTTTGGCTATATGATTCGAGCGATCTTTTTAATGTTATCTTCTGTAGGAGACAAGCATAGAAGTATGCCTTTCCAACAGCTTCTGGATATATCACTGCCTTATGCTGAAATTGATTGTGATGGAAAAGTCTATGTAGCCAAGGCGGAAGAGACCGGAGGCCTTTTGAATTTCAGTACATGTGCCGAGCAACTTCTGTATGAGATTGGCGATCCATCGGCTTATATCACCCCTGATTTGGTATGTTAGATGTTTCATAGGATTACTTTTGATGGATTGAATACAAAGGTCAAATACAAATGTGGACATAGCTGGTTGTGAATGCAGGTGGTTGACTTGAGCAATGTTTCGTTTTGCTCGATCTCCAGCTCCAAGGTTTTTTGTTCTGGAGCGAAACCATCGATTCAAGTAGTGCCCGAGAAACTCTTGCAGTTGGCTCCAAAGGTTTTTATTTTTATCTTGAATATCTAACGTTTTAACGGATGGATAAACGAGCGACAATCACCTGAAAGATCAAGAGATTACCGGGGATTGATTTAAAGTAAACTAAGGGATCAATAGGAAACCTACAGGGTTTTGTTTTTCCCCTGCCTCCCACTCGAAAAAGTATATAAGAAAATACACAAAGATTAGTCTATTAGAGTAAACATTTCGACCTCGAAAACTAACTTCTCAGGTATTCCAAATGTTGTTGATGACTACCTGGAAAATATTTTTGGATCTTAATTTTTTTTAAACGGAAACCTTTCGAATATACGCTTGTCCATTAATCTCTACGTATGAAGGAGCTGGCTCGATATTCTCCTGGAGAAATTTCTTGTTTATACTTCCTCTCTTCACAAGCTAATTGTGAATATTACATATCAGGACTGTGGATGGAAAGGATGGGGGGAGATATCCTATGGGGGACGGGAATGCGTTCTTCGTGCTAAAGCTGCTGAATATCTGGTAATTCAATGGATAGCTTTCCCATTGTATCACAATAATTTTCTGTCTTTGACATTTTTTATCATTTTGATTCATATTCATTTCTTGAATTGACTGTTGGTGCTATGTTTAAGTAAATTAAGACTACAATATAACGAGTTTGTTCCCGTTTTTCTCGTTTTTCCTTCCGTAGGTTCGTTCGTGGATGGAAGAAGTATTGAATGGTGTTAATCAACATATAGTTTCTTATATAATTGGACTTGACAGCCTTAAAGCATCCATCAATAGTAGTAGTGTCGAAGATATTCGGTTACGCATGGATGGGCTATTTGAGACGAAAGAGCACGCTCTCCTGTTTGTTAGAGAATTTACAGCTTTATACACAAATGGGCCAGCTGGTGGCGGCGGCATCAGGTTAACTGTGACAGTGAAATTTGTTTACATTAGTTATTTCCTTCATATTCATGATTGTTTTTACTAACAATCCTTCTTTCATAGAAGTTTATTGAAGTTTGAGCTTTTTAGTTAAGCTTTAAGGAAAATGAAATGATCGAGAACTTGATCAAGCTCGTTTCGAAAGTACCTTCGGGTAGATTAGGATGATTACACAAACCGAATGCGTAATATACTCTGAAACCATGTTTATTTCCGTAGTAGTTACAAACCTCGAAACCATTTATATTATCCGAACTTGTTGAAATATATGGACAAAACTTGACTTTGGATGGACTTGTTCCTTGATGTACATGCTTGTTGATCTGTTACTAGGAAGCATGTAAGTTTCAAAAATTTGTGGGTTTGAGATATTATTCTTGTGAGATTCCACATCGACTTTAAAATTGTGAGGCTGACGGCGATACGTAATGGGCTAAAGCGGACAATATTTCCTAGTGGTGGACTTAGGCTATTACAAATAGTATCAGAGCCAAGCATTGGGTGGTGTGTTAACGAGGACGGTGGGCTCTAAGGGGGTGGATTGTAAGATCCCACATTGGTTGGAGAGGAAAGAAAAATTCCTTATAAGGGTGTGGAAACCTCTCCTTAGTAGACACGTTTTAATACCGTAAGGCTGACGGCGATACGTAACGGGCTAAAGCGGACAATATCTACTAGCAGTAGACTTAGGCTGTTACAAATAGTATCAGAGTCCGGCACCAGACGGTGTGCTAACGAGGGCACTGGGCCCCCAGGAGGGTGGACTGTAAGATCCCACATTAGTTGGAGATGAACGAAACATTCCTTATAAGGGTGTGGAAACCTCTCCCTGGTAGACGCATTTTAAAACCGTGAGGCGGACGGCGATATGTAAAGAGCTAAAGTAGACAATATCTGCTAGCGGTAGACTTAGGTTGTTACAATTCTTATGATTCATCTTTTTGTTAAAACTGCATTTTACGTGTCGATGACATAATTTTTGTCCTGTTTTGATTTGAATTGCAGCACTGGGTACAAGAAAGAAATTGTGCTTGAAAAACAATTGGTACCTTTCTCTTTCCCTCTCATTCTCAAACCGAATATCTGGATTAACAGTATTTCACTTTTTATCGTCGCGTTTTATACGCTATCTGTTGATGATCTTGAGCTTTGTTTCTTGAATGTTTCCATAGCCTCACCATCATTTAGTTCTCCTCATTATCTTCATTATTCAGTCTCTTTCCTTATGATTGTTTTTAAATTAGGTCGGGCGCGAACACGTTTTCTGGCAAACAGGAGTGAAGTGCACTAAAGCAGTAGAATTAGACAGTCGACCAACGGATCTTCGTGAGGATCCAGCAAAGGCACAAACATCGCCCCGAGTATTCGCTTATGCAGACAACCCTTGTGCAGACTCCTCGCCACCAGAAACTGGCCATTCTCCTATTCCCTCTGGCCAGAAGGTTGCTCTTTACAATGTAGCCCATAGTAGAGCTGGAGACAAAGGGAATGACATGAACTTCTCAGTCATTCCTCATTATCCATCTGATATCGAGCGGTTGAAGATGATCATCACGCCCGAATGGGTGAAGAGAGTTCTTTCATCGCTGCAAAATTCATCGACATTTTCTGATTTGGATGCAGATAAGAAGAGAGACGAGTGGATCGATGAACACGTGAAGGTCGAAATATACGAAGTTAAAGGTATCCATTCTTTGAATGTTGTTGTTCGTAACATTCTAGATGGCGGCGTAAACTGCTCTCGGAGAATCGATCGCCATGGGAAGACCATATCCGATCTCGTCTTGAACCAGCAAGTTGTTTTGCCGCCATAGTTTGGTGGCTCTAACAGAAAAGAGCTAGAATTTCTGAAGCAGAAGGTTCTTATAGACAATAAATTTACTTGTGCTTCTAATGTTAATCATTCCATGTATTCTCATGTCTCCAACAATGTTATATACATATAATGAAAACAAAGCATCGCTATCGTGCCATCGTCGATATAGAGAAACAAAATTGTCGATGTCGTTGAACAAGTTATCGACCATAGCAATCCCAAATAACACATTGCCCACATTGTTGATGTTCGTGAGAACATTAAAACTCGAAGAGATATGTTAGTCGAGTAGTTCATTTAAATGCTAAAAGGGGATACGTTCGATCAGTACATTGATATATAATTTGAGATGATCACTAGTTGGGAACAATTTGAGAGATAATTCATGAATTGTTTCTACAATGTGAGTCGAATAGATAGTACGATGGAACGCACAAAAACGAAACATGAAACAGTGAGTCTGTGGTTTACTATCTAATCACTAAGAGCTAGATTGACTTCTGAAAGTTAATCGCAATGTCTCGGACATGTCGGAGCTACTTCCCGAGAAAAGAATTATTCAACTTCTCGAGTGCAAATGACCAACTAACTTCTTATCAAATCCTAAGATTCAATCACTTGTTATCTCCTCGCGAGCCTGACTCATTTGGTTTTAATAAAAAGTTTAAATAAAAGGATTTTAAGAAAAGTAAAAGTTCATTAAGGATGAGAACGGTTAGAGACGATCGTGACTCGCCACGGAAGGCAAATTATGCTCATAAAGAACCTTGTATGCTTCGAGATTGCAAGAGAAGAAGTAAAGTTCGAAAGAAGAACGACATAAATACCTTGAGGAAGCCAAATCTTATCGTGAAATAAATAAAAGAATCTCATTAATTCTCGACTAGTAGTAACTCTGTTGATATTCTTCTCAAAGAGCTTTCGAGATGATAGCCGGGAATATTTCATGTCATGCTATCAATACAATCAAAATTTCACTGTACCACGCACAAAAACAATAAAGCACTGAGTTGAGAAGCTTACAGATGATATGAATACGATAAAACTGATATAATTTAACTAAATTTCGATTATAATTTGATAAAAAAAAAATTTATTGAAATGAGCGAGTTTATGAAGATTTTTTTGGATTGTTTTTATTTTTAATTATTATTTCTTTTTGAAATTTAATAGATGAATTAGCGAAGGGTAGAAAATGCAATATTTAAGTTAAATTTATGGTGGCGTGTAATTAAAATTTTAAGATTAAATTTGATATAATAAAATTTATATTTTCTCAAAAAATTAATTATTTGTTAATTTTTTAAAACCAGACAAAACTACGTCGTTTAAGCGGGACCCGGCAAACGCCGTTCCTCTGTTCAATAACAACGAACATAGCGGCGAAGTCGGGTAATCGAAGGCCAATGGCTTTCATCTCTCTCCCACCGCCCTCCAATTTCCTTTGAAATCGTCAACCGATCCGCTCTTCTTTCATTCTATGTCAAGAAATTCTGTCCGGAATTGGAGCTGATCCAACCAATGAATCACAAATCTCTCCCGCATTTGGATTCACACCACCAAATCCGACACTATTTCATGTATAAATTTGGATTTTTACTTCATCAATCACAGACCTCAATCCTCCCCCTCGTATCTGATCTTGTCTGGAAGATCGAGGCTTCGGAGGGCTTGAGGTTTCCATTGCACTACATTTTCTTCGTTTCTGGTGTGTTTTTTCTGTTTTCTTCTTTTCCGGAAGTTCTTCTGTCTCGGATTGAGTCCATCTTGTAAAACACTCATTTCTTCATAAAATGGCTTTCACTGGAACATTGGATAAATGCAAGGCTTGTAATAAGACTGTTTATGTGGTTGATTTGTTGTCTCTTGAAGGCAATCCTTACCATAAGAATTGCTTCAGATGCAGCCACTGCAAAGGCACCCTTTCGGTTAGTCTCGGTTTACATTTTCAAATTTCAACATCACCTTCTCGTGTTAGATCGTTCGATAATGGCGGATTTTACCCTAATTGTTTGATTATGATGACAGATGACCAGCCACTCGTGGATGGACGGCGTCCTGTATTGCAAGCCTCATTTCGATCAACTCTTTAAGGAATCTGGAAATTTCGCAAACTTCCAATGTAGTATAACCGTTATTTCCCTCTTTTTGTCTGTTCCTTTTTCTTTTCATATGTTCCTGACATTCTCGTTTCATTGTTCAACAGCCAAGTCTGAGAAGAAACCTGAACTGGTATGCTCCCATTGTGTTCTTCTTTCCTTAGATTTAAAAGAAGTGACTGTCATAATCTCACTAACTCGTGGATTAGATACTAGATTGAATGTATGAGAATAAAATGGAACAAAGTTTGATAGTTGCTAGGATCATGCAAGTTTTTGAATCTACATCCAACCGTTATTTGGGTTGTAGTCATCTCGTTTTCAACCATTCTTATTGGCATTCGAAACTTCAAATTCATATCGAATGTTTGTTAGGAGCCAATTTAGATTTTTAAAGTTCTCTAACGATTATTATGAGACTCCTACATTACGATCATGTCATTCAATAGTATTTATGAGAAAGAAACGGTTAATCTCGTTACTATGTGCACTTTTTTCAAATTCATTTCTAGGAGACCACTCATTCAATAATTTTGCCTGGTTTTGAATATGCCATTCCCAATAGGCTTAGCTTGCTCACCTGAAATAGAATGGGCCTAGGCATTCTGGTTTTGTTTCTAATTTTCTAAAGCTAAGTTTTCGGTCAAGAAGTTTGATTGGACGTGCCATTAGAGTTTTCTAACGTTCTATAGTCAACTTAGCTATCACTCAAGCAGCCAAGAGCATGTTTGATTGAAACCAGGGAAAAATTCATCTTGTTACCAAGGGAAAGAGAGTGTCCCTTTTGTGACATTTACCCCGAAAAAAAAAAAGCCTATTCTATTCGAAAGTGTCCCACATCGGTTAATTTAGGGAATGATCATGGGTTTATAATCAAAAAATACACTCTCCATTGGTTTGAGGCCTTTCCCCAAAAGGCCATGAGAGCTTATGCTCATTGTGGAGAGTCGTGTTCGTCTTTTGAAACTTCAGCCCTGTGATTTTCATGCAAATGCTGTAATATTCATGTTATATTACAACTTTCACAATCTTTGACAGACAAGGACCAACAGCAAACTCTCCGCCATGTTCTGTGGGACTCAAGATAGATGTGCTGCTTGCAGTAAAGTAGTTTATCCATTAGAAAAGGTCCGTAGTTCTTCCCCTTTTCTTCTTTACACAACACACATTTTTCTCAAAATTGTGAAAGAAAACTCTGCTGGGCTTAACAGATCAGTCTTGAGGGGGAATGCTACCACAAGAACTGCTTCAGATGTGCTCATGGTGGATGCAATTTGACACACTCTTCTTATGCTGCTCTTGATGGAGTGTTGTACTGCAAGCACCATTTTGCTCAGCTCTTCATGGTCAAGGGCAACTATACCCATGTCCTTCAAGCTGCTGCAAACAAGAAAGCCACCATGACCCCGGCCGAACGTGCCGAAAAAGATGGCAAGCCTCAGCCTGATTCCGAGGACGGCGCAGTAGAGCAGTCTTAAAATGCTTCTTCTGCTCTTCCAGACTTTGAGAATTCATCTCTTATGAAAAAAAAAAAAAAAAAGTTTATTCTTCTGTTTGGAATGAAAACATTTGTTTTTGTTCCCAATTCACATTCATTGGAATGGAAACATTTGTTTTTGTTCTCACATTTATTTCCAATTTATACTATATTCTGCTGCACTTTCAAGTATCACCTAATAAGTTCTAGAAAAACACACCTTATTTTGTTTATGGCATAGAATGATAAGCTCTAGTGGATTTTACGGTACGAGAATTTTTGTTCTATGTTGAAGCTCGGTTCTTATGTTTGTACTCCATCCCCACAGGGGTAGAGAATCCATCGCTATCTTAGCTGTGTGCTAACGGAGGTTTTGGGGAAATTAGAAGGTTGGCTTACTACTTAGATGCTTTCAACAGTTATCCACTTTGCACTTGGCTATCTAGCGTTTACCGTTGGTATGATAATTGGTACACGAGCAATTATCTAGTGTTTACCATTGGTACCATTGGTTTTTAAGGTGAAGATTTGTACTTAGAATTTCTAGCATTATGGCCAATGTTTTTTTTTCACAAGTTGTGCTATCAAGTCAGTTTAATATCTCAGCATATTCCCAAATTCTTTGAACCAAATTTGTCCCAGTAGCACTATTGGATATACACCATTTTGGCTTCATGGGCGATTGTGATTGCAGTCTTCATAAGTCCATATCATATCAAACCATCTTGATGTCAAAATAATATCTATCCGATACAAGTCAATTCGGATCACTCAATCTCTCAATATGCAATTGTTAAACTAAAAAAACCCTAGAAAAACGAGAAGCCGTATGATCTGAAAATCTTATATACAGTTCTCAGGCTACCTTTTAATTATAATATATTAAAAATTTTACCACGTGGAAAGCATCCCGCCCTACCTTTTAATTATAATATATTAAAAATTTGTATATGGAATAAGAATATAATTGGTAATTGAGTTAGAAATGAAATATTAAAAATTCTAAAGAAAAAAAAAATTGTAATTGTATTTAACTCAAAAATACCTTTATTAAATAATGATTCAACCTAATCCAATTATAATTTTTTTATCTAATTATAATTTTTTTTAGTTGGATGGTTGAGTGATTTATTCAAATTTTTATTTTTAATAAAACTAAAATGCTTAAGTAATAAAAATATTAAACATAAATTTAAATAAAAATAATAATAAAAAAGAGGTTTTTTTTTTTTAACATTGCTTCATTTGATGCATTTTATTTGGCGGTTGCATTTCACGCGCTTCAATAGCGCGTGATCAAGCGCCTTTTTAATTCGGAATATCTCACTCCTTCAACAGATCGACAATGAGGCCATCGACCAACGAAGGGCCATTTCGGTAAAATCGCGAGAAATATCTAAGAGCAGTTAGTGGCGTTCTCGGCCAGAATTTTTCATTTCCTACCGTCCGAACAACACGAAACGCAAATTCACTACAAAATTTTCTCCCTCATTTGTTCTTAATCTCCTTCATTTCCTTCCATTTTTTTGATTTTTGCCACACCTGGTTCAGGACTGTGATTGCCGGAGCTTTGTTTTCCCCCC